ACCACACAACAAGCTTCTATTTAAGTGCTCAAACAATCTTTTGTTGAGCTTACATATTATATGTTTAATTCATTATTTATTCTTATTGAATCTCAATGGATCATCATTTCTTTCATATTCTTATTGATCTTCATTTGTCTACTTGTCTAGAAAACCTTGATAATCTTCTTTATTATTGATCTCTCGTTGACCCTCATGATTACCTCATTCACACGAATTCACTTTTTGTATCAAAATATCACATATTTCTTGTTATAAACTAAAAAAATTCTTACTTTTTTATAAAAAAAATATCAACATAGTTTATATACTCTTGGTTTCAAATTACCTAATAAGAAGTATGTAAATTTAAGTACTCTTATATATATAAGAGTATATATATAAATATATATGATAAAGATAAATAAGATTTCTTTCCTCGGTAAATTATTAACATTTCTTGTACTCAATTTTATACTAATGGAAAACATTTATTGAATTTTTTTTCGTACTTACCGATGGTCACTACAAAAAAAGTGAGCATTGACGATTCATTTTTTAGCGACATGTTTCCGCCACAAGTTATAGCGACGACATGTTGTTATATACTTTTTCTAATGATAAATGGACTTTTAGCGACGACAAAAGTCGTTGCTAAAAGCCTTGTTTCTTGCCGTGGGCCCTGCTTTTACGTTCGCCCAGGGCCTAAAAAATGTCAGGAACGAGCCTGAGTATTGATCATAATTAATAAACCATATTCATCTTCCATAAATATCCAAATAATAATAAATGAACTCTTATTATTAATATAAATATCTCAATAGTTGGGTTGCATTGTTTGTACAAATGAATATGATTGTATTTGAAATATACCATATATATATATATATATATATATATATTGTTTCAATAAATAAAATACATTTTCCTATTTTTGTACATATTTATTTATTATAACTATATTATTATTATTATTATTATTATTATTATTATTATTATTATTGCCTACTTTTATATAAATTAGTAATATAAATAAGTAATTTAAGTGACCAAAAACAAAAACAAAAAATTAATTACATCCTTTTCAAAATAAAAAATATTGATGTATATTAAATATATAATTAAAGAAAATCATTTGACGAATTAATTCGATATACTCAATGTAACAAGTGGAAGAAATATTTGCATAAAAAACAAAGCAGTAACCATCAATACGATATGGTGACCATTAATGAATTAACGATGTTTTTGTCCTTAGAAATTAATTAAATTATTCTTATAAAAAAATGTGAATTACACTGGTGGTCCATATATTCTGGTTAAATTTTGAATTTGATCCTTAAAACAAATTATCTACATTGCTGGTCTCTAAATTTTTCGTTTTCATAACACCTATGGTTAACTCCATTTAACAACGTTAATTA